GAAACCTCACAAAAGTCACATCCCCGGATAGCAGGGATCTGGGCGAACAAAATATCCCAAAATCACCCAGTTTTTTTTGGTAGTTTTGGATTGCCATCGCGGGGAAATTTTAACCGGTCTGCCACGAGGGGTAAGCCCAAAATAGTTCCAGTGAAGTTGTGGCGAGAACCGGTCTCCATTTGTGGGGTTTTAGATGAAAAAACACCAGTTAGACGAAAGCAGATTAGTAGAGAATGCTTCCTGTGTTTGGTAGTATAGATCTCCCGAACAGCATTCGTTTAGGTGAAGGGGAACAGGGACGGGCAGCAGGTCCATGATGACCGGGGTTTTGCGGGAGTTTCTGGCAGAAATTAGTTCCAAACACTTGACAACCAACACCTGTTGCCCGTGTTTGGAAGACAAAATGGACGGCATTCATTGTCCTGAACATGTGCGTTCATATGCGCAAACTGGCGGCCATCCGGTGGAACATTCAATTAGTTTGTTCCGTTGTAGTTTTCATATATGATACTTAACGTTCCATGTTCTAATGCGTCTCTTGGGTGGTCTCAGTTCGGGAAAATAAACAAAATAAAATAGGGTACAAATCCAGCCAAGAAAATGAGCCGAAAGTGAAGGGGTTATTCCTTCACACTGCTCCCCCCTTGCTCACAGCCCTGGCAGACACTGTTGGACCCTTTTTGGATCAACTTGGGGCTGTCCGGATACAAATAATATAGTCAAACCACCAGTTCAGTCTGATGGGATAGCCCATTCCCGTTCTGTTTGCCAGGTCGGTAATGTATGGTGAAGTCGTTCAGCGACCCGATTGAGCCAGACATTGCTTACCATATCCTACATGGTGGCCCAGATAGTGCACCTCCGCCATGCCAATGTGACACTTATCAGGCTTCAAGGTTAAGCCGGCTCCCCTAATTCTGTCGAACACTGTCCCTATGTGGTCTAGATGAGTTTCCCAGGTGTCGCTATAGATAGCAATGTCATCCAGGTATGTACAAACTTAATCCTTGAGACCATCTAGGAGGCGATCCACCATGCGTTGGAAAGTGGCTGGGGCGTTCTTCATCCCAAATGGCATAACTCTGAACTAGTATAGGCCGAATGGGAATCTGCCAATAGCCTTTACATAGGTTGATAGTGGTCGTCCCCTAGCTATCCGGTCCAACAATTCGTCTACCCGCGACATTGGGTAGGCGTCTGTGACTCTTTTATCTTCAGTCTCCTGTAATTCACACAAAAATGGGGTTGTGTGACTATAGGAGAGGCCCAAGGACTCTCCTAAGTGGAGAATCTCGGCTATCTCTTTCCACATTCCTTCCCAGACTGCCTCGGGAATGCGGTATGGGGCTGTCTCAAGGACGCCTGGCCTGGGGTGTCTTCCTTATGGGTCGCTAGAGGGGTATACCCAGGTTCCTGGGAGAAGGTGGCTTGTTTGGCCTCCAACAGTTGGATTCCCCGAGCTCTACAGCCCCCTCTCTAGTGTCGCCTCCTAACAGGTCGGGCATCGGGGTCTTCGGATTCCGTGGAGCACACGGCGGCCACCTCTTCCTCTCTTCCTTTATACTCCTTGAGCATGTTGATGTGAAACATCCGTTTCACATCATCATTCTCGCAGCTGGCTACTGTGTACGTGGTGTCACACACCTGCCCAATAACCTTATAGGTTCTCTGCCAGGCTGCCTGTAGTTTGTCTTGCCAGACTGGTTTAAGTACCAGAACATTTTGTCCGACCCGAAAACTATGGTGCCTGGCTTTCCAATCGTACCATACCCATTGGCGCTGCTGAGCCGCCTAGAGGTTCTCTCCTACCGTCTAAGCCAATGCCTCCATTCGGTCCCTCAGCTCCAACACATAGTGCACAATCAGGTTCCCTGCCGTCTCTGTCGTACCCTCCCAGTGTTCGTGAATAAGGTCTAGGGGCCCTCTTACTCGCCTCCCATACAACAGCTCAAAAGGTGAGAACCCAGTAGATTCCTACGGCACTTCCCTGTAAGCAAAGAGAAGGTGTGGCAGGAATCGTTCCCA